GACTCACTCTGCCCTGATTGGCTCGGGGCTGGCAGCTGCGGGGACAGGTCTGCGCAGACACAGACAGAGAGAAGTTGGCAGAGAGGTGTGTGCCCTGGGGCAGAACCGAGAGCAAATGGGCGACTCCGGACCCCTCGTCCCACTGCCCTGTCGCCCGGATCCCCCTTCCCCTGCCGGGATGCTGCTCCCTCTGCTGCTCCTGCCCTGGGCATGGGGGGCCCTGGCCGGTAAGTGGGGACCCCCCCCCGCTGTTTTTGCTACTGTGGGGGAGGGGATGGTGTAAAGCCAGGGCTGGGGGGGGGGGAACAGCACTGTGCTGTGTTAGTGACCCTTGCTGGGGGTGTAGGAGGAGGGGGAAGGCGGGTTAGGGGTCAGCAGGGAGACGCATTAATGTCTCTCCCCACCCGCTTTGTTCTCCACTTGTTTTCTGTTACTCCCTCCTCCGCAGCCTTCCCTCCTGCCCCCCCAGGGACTGTAACCCTCCGGGTGCTCCTCACCGCCCTGTTCCCAGACGCCAGCTCTGCGCACATACAGGTGAAGGCCCTGCTGGGCGACCTGGAGACCCACTCCGTGAACTGCAGAACCTGCGAGATCCACTTCCTGCAGCCCTGGGCCCAGCAGGGCCTGACCCCGAAGCAGTGGCAGGACCTGGAGCTGGTGATCCATCGCTCTCTGTCCGACTTCATCCGGACCGTGAACACAATCGCCCAGCAGCAGCGAAAGGGCTGTGAGTATGGAGCGGTCTGAGGGGATCCCTCCCCCCACCCACCCGGGGTGCTGAGAACTGACACACTCACCTGGCCCTGGCCCTTTGGCTGATTGGAGCTGGCGTCCCCCAGAGGGGAAACACCAGCTCTGGGGCCAGATTGTAGCCTCCACTTCCTAGAGGGGAAAGGCCCCGCGTCCCACTCCCTGAGCCGACGCTCCTGGTCTTTCCTGACGTGTACCCTGAGCCTTTGAAAAGCAGGTCATTGGGGGGGGGTCCGTATCTCAGGAACCCCGTGACCAAGGGGCCCCAAATTTACACCACAAACTCTGCCTCAGGCCCCGATGTAACGCAGCGATTTTCGAGCCGATCTGACTGTGCACATGAACCTCAGAGCACTTCGAACAATCAGCTTTAAACAGAAATACCCTTAACTCCAGCCAGAGCCGCCCCACAATCCTGCTGCCATCTTGTGGCCAAACGTCCTCATTGCACCTATCATGCACCTTTATTGCCCCATTTCTCTATTTCTGCTCCCCGGTAACCTCCGGACGCCCGTCCTCATCCCCCTGCCCTTCCTGTTCCAGACCCCTTTGTTACCCAGGGCTCCCTCGGCTGCGAGCTGCCCCCCAACGGCACCTCTAGGGGATTCTATGACGCCGCGGCGAATGGCGAGGACGTCGTGAGCTTCGACGTGGACGTGGGCACCTGGGTCGCTCGGTCGGAGGATAAGCTGGCGCTCAACGCCCGGGACCGTCTCAACTGGGATAAGAGCGCGTCCACCAGGCTTCAGTTTTTTTTGAGAATAACTTGCATCTATCTGCTCAATACGTTTGTTCTGTACGGGAAAGAGTCTCTGGAGAGGCAAGGTGAGGCTGGACACCACTCCCTGCTCGCTGAGATGCAGCCACCTCTGGGGTGGGGCACAGGGGCTGGTTATACATGGCCCCCTTGCCTGGAGTACAAATGCAGCTATATCTGGGGTGCAGCACAGTAGCTATTTCACAGCCGCACTGCACAGCAGTTTAGGACAGGAAGTGAACAGGGTTCTGTCACCACTGGTAACTGCAGGGGGCAGAATTGGGGTCTGGCCAG